TAAGTTTTTTTCTGTGTTTTCTTTGGTCTGTCTCTCAATCCTTTGAAGATACCTAAAGGTAATTCTTTAGAATTCCTTATCAGAGAGTTCCAGTGCTGCTTCTTCCTCAGGGACGTGCTCTGGGTCTGTATCCTGCTCCCTTGTTTCTACCACTTTATCCTGCTTCTTTGTGTGGACTGTGATGTTTTGTTGTTTCTGAGGCATTGTGATGTTGTTGTATTTAGATCTCTGTTGACTGTGAAGAGCAGCCAAGGCTGAGTCAGGCTCTTCTTGGTGATTTTTTATTGTTGGCCAGTTGGTGGAGAAGGAGGGAGGGGCTCTCGCTCAGTAGGTGAAGTCACAGGAGGTGTAGGTGTAGTTGTGTCTTATGAGGACTGTTGTTGTGTCCCACTCAGTTAGACACAAATTAGAATTCAATAACCATCAAAAAAGTAAAAGCCCATGGACGAAAAATACACCATGTAATCTCACAGGAACAGTAACCGAAAAAAGAAAAAAGGGAAAAAAAGAAGAAAAAACAAGCAAACCTGCTATATCTGGGGATAGACCACTATGCAAAAAAAAAAAAATAAAAAAGAAAGAAAGTAGGGAAGGAGAAGAATAAATGAAGAAAAAGATAGGAAAAATTCAAAAAGAAAAACAAATAATGGGGTTAATGACGAGAAAAAAGTGTTAGAAGAAAACAAAAAAAACCCCTTAATTTGGGGGGGGGGAACAAAAAAAATTTCATTCGGGCACAGGGTAAAGAAAATGTGCTGAAAAGTAGGACCTGGTAGGGGAAGATTAAGAATAATAATAAAAAGTTTAAAAGTATTAGTAATATTTGTTGTTGTTGTTGTTGTTATTTGCCGTTGAGTCGGCCCCGACTCATAGCGACCCCTCCTTGGATTTCCGAGGCAGTATCACTACGGAAGTAGGAGTGCCCAGCCTTCCTTCCAAGGAATGGCTGGTGGGTTTGAACCGCCCGCCTTCTGGTTAGCAGTCAAGTGTCTTAGGCACTGTGCTACCAGAGCTGCTATTAGTAATATTAGTTGTTTTAAAACAGACAGATACAAGCAAGCTAATCACTGGAAAAAAGAAATCGAAAAAGAAAAAAGTAAAAATAAAAAGAGAGAAAAAAGAGAAAAGAAAATTGGTGAAGGACATGGTAGGGCACCTAGGCTCCGTTTGAGCACACAGACTGTGATGGAGTTCCTATAGCCCAGAAGGTAGGTGGGAGTGGGAGATGGACACACCTACTTTCACCAAGCAGGTGTAGGTTGTAGTAACAAGGAGAGTGTCGTACCTTTTCAGTCTTTCGGGCCCCGAGTGTTCCTTGGGGTTGCTGGAAAGCAGAAGTGTTCTTAAGCCCCAGAAATCTGTGAGAGCACTGTCTCTTTAAATATCCACAATAGTCAAGCTGCTCTTTAAACCTTCAAAATGGTAGCGTCCTCCGGACCAGCAGAAGTCCACAGTTCAGCCCGCCTTTTCCGTTTGTTCCCCAGCCACTGTGCACAGTCCTTCATGCAGTCCCTGGGTTGCAGGGTGATTTTTAGGTTAATTCTTAGGTCCTGCCACCACTCGGGAATCTCCAAGCTGTCTGTGCTGTCAGGATCGCTCAGGATCGCTGCCTGACCTCAGCTCCATATGTCTCCTTTTTTGGTATTTTCATGCAAATTCTTTTGCTAGTTGGGGTTTTGTCCACTTCTGTATCCTTCCTTTCAAGGCTCAGGGGTCCAAGATTATCTTCTGTGTCTGTGTTAATTGGTTTCCCTTTTCTTTGTTGAAGTGGGTCTGTGGAGTCTTTCTGCCTAGTCCGCCATCTTGCCGGAACCTCTCCTCCAGGATTATCTTGTGTGTCGCTGTCAATTGGTTTCTCTTTTCTTTGTTGAAGAGGTTCTGTGTAGCTTGTTTGCCTATTCTGCCATCTTACTGGAGGTCCCCAACTTAATTTTTGTCCTGGGTGTCATAAGGGTTGATTCTTTTTTTTTTTTTTTTTTTTGTTATTTTGATATCGAGTATACCTAGCACCATTTTTTGAAAATACTTTCTTCCTTGATTTGCCTTGGCATCTTTGTAAAAAATCACTTGATCATAAATGTGTGGGTCTATTCTGCATTCTCTTACTATTTTCCATTCTGTGTGTCTATTTTTTTGTTGGTATTAAACTTTTGATTATTGTAACTTTACGTAGTCTTTTTAAAAGTAACTTATTTTTGCTGTTGAGAATATGGGTGGCAGAACAGAAACCAGTTCAAAAATGTATACATGCACAATTCAGTGACATTAATGTTCTTTGAGCTGTGCATCCATTCTCACCCTCTTTTTCCAAGTCGTTCCTTCCCTATTAGTGTATCTCACTTCTGCCTATTAATATATCTTACTTCTGCCTAAGTTTCCTGTCTGCTCTTTTGAATTGTTTTTGTCAGTTTGACCCCATATAGATAGGTCTTAAAAGAGAACAGTGTTCAAGGAAGACATTGTTTACTAGTTCAGCTTAGCTATTGTTTGGTTTTACAAAGACTTCAGGGGATATTTTTTAGTTTAAAGCTTAAAGGAGGTGGAAAATTTCTTAACTTCTCGAATTTTTCTTTAGTGCTTTTTTCTGCTTTTTAAAACCCCAATTACTGAACTATTGGACTTCTATGAATTGGTTCTCCTTATTTTCTTCTTTTTGCTTCTATTTTTCACATCAGTGTTTTTCTTCTACTTTATAGGAGATTTTCTAATCTTTATCTTTGAATTCTTCTATTGACCTTTCCATTTTTTCTATAATATTTTTATATTATAAATGTAGGGTAAATATTCTTATATATTGTTTCACAGATGCATTAGCTAACTTTTAGTTAATGTCTCTGTATTGTTCACCTATTGCCACTCTAGAAGAAGATGCCACACATCGGATGGCTTTAACAAACAGGAGTTTATTCTTAAAATTTTTGGAGACTAGAAGGCTCAGTTCCACATGCCAGGCTCTAAGGGCTCTGTGAAAGCCGCTCAACCTCTGCCTCTTGCTCTCGGCTTACTGAAGCTAGAGGCTTCTTTTCACTCAGGCAATTTCTGGCTGCTGAGGCTAACAAGCCTAAGGTTGACAAATAAAATGGCACAGTCCCGATGTTACCAAACAACATCGCAGCCCACTAATTCAAGTCCAGATGAAGTCTCAAAATTGGCAGGGCATGGCAGGCTGTTGAACAACGACTTGGCTACATGCAGAGTTCAAGCATGCCAAAGGTTAGAGACCATTCCCAAAGCTGTTTCTTGTATATGGGAAATAGCTCCAATAGATTTCACCATGAAGTTTATTACCAATCTCACCATGGGGAATAACTACATCCAGCTGCCTAGACACTCAATGAGGCCCAGCCAAATTGACACACAAACTTAATTACCTCAGTGTCTAGGTAGCTTATTTTCCTGAGCTCCCTTTTTTTTTTTTTTTTTGTCTGTGTTTTGTTTTAAGGTTTTCTGCATATGTGTGATGATATTTATTTATCTTCTCAAGGTTCAAAAGAAGACTCTAAAAACAAATTGGAAGTGGTATGTGTTTGGATGATGGGTGGGCAGATAGACAGTGGCCATGGCTGAATCTGAGTTTATATGTGTACGTGTGTGTGTGTGTTTGTGTGTTACTGTCAACGCTATCTATATTTTTAGGTCCCTTTTCTAGGACTTTTCAAATTCCTTAGAAAATAATCTTTCAGTTCTCTTTAGGGAAGGTGTAGGGTTGGCTGCTAGCCTTTAGGAGCCTCTGAGTAGACAGTGACTTTGGATGGAGGGGAGTGGGTTTTAACAATAGGTATGTGTCCTCCTGCTTATTTTCTTTGTTGTTAGTATGATACTTCCATCCTCAGCTGTGCCTGTTGAGTTCCAGACCAAAGACTTTCTGTTACATCCCTTCTACAGATTTAAACCTCTAGTTTTAGGAAGTAGATGCAGGACAGTGTAGGTGCTAGTAGTTAGAATGGCAGTCTGGGGGTGTATTGGCTTTTTTGAATCCCATTTTTATACCCATCTCCCATGGTATTGCCAGTTCCTTAGTCTTAGAGGTTCTGTGGCTTAAATAGAGCTGCTGCTTGGCCTTCCCCCATTTCCATTTTAGGATTCAGATTTTCTTGAATTTTCTATTTGCCTCTTTTTATAGCTTCCAAACATTTTATTTATTATTTTTATTCTACTCTTTTGTTCTTTGTCTTTGGGTTATGGTTTTGGTTTTTTGTTTACCTCTACTATTTTTAGTAGGTTTTGAGGGGGAGTGGAGATAAATGTGTTTAAATCTACCTTCTTTAACTGTGTGTCAATTTTTTCCTGTTGATGTACTTATTTATGTGAACAGTTTTTCCTCAAAAATAGGATTATAATGTACCAGTATAACCCATTTTATGCAGGGTTTTTTTTTTTTTTTTGTATTTTAAAATTTTTTTCTACAATATAAAATGCATATTATTCTGTTGGATCCATCTACCATAATTTACTTCAAATTAGAATTATGAAAATTAAGTGCTTATGTATAAGGTGAGCTCTGAGGAAGTAGTAAGACTATAGATAGGGTAGAAGCATGGAGTGTTATATTTGGTGATGATGCAGGTCCAGAAAGCATATCATTCTGTTGTGTGTGGGGTTACCATGAGTCTGACCCAACTCAACAGCAGCTATCTACTAACAGCATATTTGTTGAGAGGTGAATGAGTGATTGATTATATCTTTTCTTTATTCCTTATTCTTCAAATGCTATTTAAACATTTAAAAAATACTTCTATTTTTCTTTTAGGTGCTATGTAATGTATGAACATATTATAAGGAATGGTCTTGTCACGTTCTCATGAGTTATGGTGTCTGAAATATCAATTCTATCTTGTGGGAAAAGAACTGTAAGTAGACATCAAGGAATAAGCTGATTTTCTACTATTCTGTGTTTATGTAAAATAACTTATTAATTATAGGCATGTAGTTGGTGTAGTTCATTCTGCTAGCCTTAAATATACAGAGTAAATAATTCAAAAGGAGAAATTAGATTTTCTGTAAATCAAGGTTATTTTTGTATAGTGTTAGTATTACCATATTTCATGGATTGTACACAATTTAATTTTTATCTTTTAATTTTTCAGAAACGGCAGCACAAAATCAAATCTATACTAACAGAGTATTTTATTAAACGAAGGAGGTTAGATAAAAACTGCAAACCAACAGATTCAGCAAACAAGAAAAGAAACGTGTTAGCTGTAAGACATGTTTCAAATGAATCAAAGTGCAGTAACTGCAGAGTTCAGAAGAAAAAAAATTTCAAAAATTTTGTCCAAACAGGTCAGTAATAAATAACTCCTCTAGAAATAAGGCTAGACCTGAAGCCAAAATTAATTGAGAAATTAACAAAGCAGATTGAACCTAAGTTAGTTATTTTTTTAATAAAAACAAAAAATGTCAAGTTTAGAATAAATTTTCTTCAAATTTATATTGCTTTGTTCAAAGTAAAACAACTATCTTTCAGCATTTATGCCAGTTTTTCTCATGTTCTAGGAATCGCAGAAACCTTACTTGAAGCAAACTAGTATTTCTGTTGAAAATGTCTGTCTGCGTCAATTAAAGTCAGATTTTTAAGACTGCTTCTCTCTAATACTAGACATTCAGTATTCGTACATACTAGGACACAAAAATCCTCTCAAAAACTACTCAGAAAAGGAGGACCTTACTCAGGAATGATGTCTATTCAGCAGAAATCTAAAGAAAATTCCTCTAAAGTTACTGAAAAAAGCGAAGATAAGAATTTAGAAACACAAATTCAAGGCTCTCACAAGAATGTAGCCAAAAAATTAGGTTCAAAGGAAACTGTACAATCACTGGTTAAATCTTCCAATGAAAATAATGCAAGCCAGCTTGAATCAGGAACACGCATGAGTACAAGGTCAGCAAAGGCAACATCCAGTGATAAAAAAGCTATTAACTTCATTGATAGAAATATGGTGACTGTGAAAGGGCATTCACAACAAGAATCTACAAAAAAGAAGAAAGTATCTCAGAAAAAATCAGTGCATGAAACCTTGAAATCAAATGAACAGCTTAATCGGAGATCACAAAGACTACAACAGCTAACAGAAATTTCAACAAGATCTTTACGCAGTAGAACAATTCAAGGTCAAGTTCAAGCAGTTAAACAGAGTTTGCCACCAACAAGAAAAGAGCACTGTAGCAATACTAAAGGTAAATCTAATAAACTTAAAACAAGTAAAAAACATGTGAAGAGAAAAGTACTAGAAATAAAATCTGACACTAAAGAGGATGAAAATTCAGTGATTAATGAAGTAATAAATTCCCCTAAAGGAAAAAAACGCAAAGTAGAGCACCAGACAGCCTGTACTTGTAGTTCTCAGTGCATTCAAGGATATGAAAAGTGTCTTCAGAAGACTATTAGAAAAGAGGAAACAAAGCCTGTGCCTGTAACTTCTCCTGAGGTAAAAAGATCAAAGATGACTACTTCATTGAATACTTCAGTCTCTAAAAAGAATGAGAAAATGAAGAAGTCAGTTCATACACAAGTGAATAGTAGTGCAAAACCCCCCCAAAATCCACAGCCATCAGTGCCTGAACAAAGTGTAGATAATGAGCTCGAACAAGCAGGAAAGAACAAACGAGGTAGCATTCTCCAGCTCTGTGAAGAAATTGCTGGTGAAATTGAGTCAGATACTGTAGAGGTAAAAAGGGAATCTGCACAAATGGAAAATGCAAAGGAGGAGGAACCTACAGAAATAAAACTGGAAGAGACTGTTGAAAGACACATACTTCACCACAAGGAAACAAATCAGGATGTTCAGTGTAATCGTTTCTTCCCCAGTAGGAAAAGAAAGCCTGTAAAGTGTATAGTTAATGGAATAAACAGCTCAACTAAGAAGAATTCCAGTTGGACCAAAATTAAACTCTCAAAATTCAACTCTGTGCAGCAAAATAAGTTGGACTCTAAAATTTCTCCTAAATCAGGCTCATTACAAACCAGTTTTTTACCACAAACTTTAGAAATGCATCATCCAGCGACTCAAAATACATTTTTAGGGACAAAACTGCTTGATGATAAAAACAAAGCTTGCCAGCAGGAAAAACTGAAACAAATTAATTCCGAAGTTAGAAGTAATGCTATAGTACAAATTAATAAAACCACAGAAATGGCTCCTGAAAATTGTCATTTGGATAATCAGATAAAGTTTTCTACTGAACCATTATTGGATAATCAACTGAAACAGTCCATTCCATCAGCACCAGATAAGGTAAGCCATTTTGTTATGCATAGTAGAGGTACCTGAATACTTTCTAATAAATATTTTGAGCATATTTTAACTTAAGAATTAAATCATAAAAGACTGATGAATCATTTCTTAAGGTATCCTATTAAGACCCAATTACATGGAGATAGACTCCATTAGATGTCTCACATTTACAACAGTATTTCTGTTTCCTCACTTTTACTCTGCATTTTGATTTTACATAAAACATAAACTTGATGAATTCTAGACTTTAATTTAACATACTATATTCTTTTCGTTTTCTACTAATTGTAACCACAGAAAATAAATTACATAGTAACTGATATCTAGAACTTAAAAAGTTAAGCTGAATTCTAAGACCTTAAGATGAGTTTCAACTTGGGCA